TCGAGGGGGTTAACCTCTTGCACTTCTGAGGGATCAAGTGGATCAAAATAATGAGATGGATCAGCTGGAGAAAAGATAGAGACTCCTGGGAATTCTGTCTCAACAAATGTGACATTGTGACAGCGCTCTATTTTCCCTCCTGGAAGAAGTGTCACGGCTAGCGGGTGGACTATGTGGAATGAGGGCAAAAACCACTGGCTTGTATTCCCTGATTACGCATGTGAGAAAAACCCGCGACACTCCAGATGTGGAGTTTGCACACCGTACAACAAGAAGAACGCGCCAGTTGTGCGCTCCCAGCTGATATCCCATCAAGAGCCCTTTCTTAGATGTGTCGCCCAGTTTTCCTTCACGAAGCTGTTTGGGAATGTTGGTGTAACACAAGCACCTGAAGGGTTTTAGCAGATCTGTGTCAAAGGATTTTCCAAACCACTGTTGATGTGGTGTTTTCCACTTGAGAGTTTGCGAAGGGGTGAAATTCTCAAGGAATACTGATGTAGCAACTGCTTTGCCCCAGTATTCAGATGGTAGCTTGGCTTGTCGTAATAGACAGCGAGTTTTTTCCGAGGTTGTGCGATTGCCCCGTTCAGCCATCGCGTTTTGCTGAGGAGTGTAGGGAGCTGAGACTTGGGACGTAATACCTTTTGATTTCAAGAAGTCAATGAATTCTTTGGAGTTGAACTCAGCCATCAAAGATGACTGTCTTTATGTTTGACTTGTGATGATTGGTAACTTCATGATAGTATTGCAAGAAGAATTGAAAGGTTTTGGATTTTTTGACAGGAGAAATACATGACGATAACGCGTGTAGTGGTCAATTATCTTAAGGTAATATTCCTTCCCTCCAAAGGAGGGAGGATTGATTCTTCCACTCAGGTCCATCGAGACGTATTTTAGGGGACGAGTTGCAGCAGGCAAAGTACCCAAAAACGGCTGCCGGTGAGATTTCGACAGAGCACAAGGCTCGCAGTGGCTTGGAGGAGATTGAATCAATGGAAACATTCGTCTCAGCGCAAGTGAGGATGTCCTGCCGCCCTGTGCAACCGATCGATGTCAACTACCGACGCAATATTGGCTTGGGGTTCTTGTGACTGACCTGGGAAGCGGATGGGAGCGCTGCTTGTTCCATCGGAGATAGTCGCGGAAAAGATTGAAACACCACGCCTGACAATGTCAAAAGATGATGAAACTGTACAGACAATGTCGCAACCTCTCTCGTAAAGTTGACATAGACTGATCAGAGTTGCTGCTAGTTTTGGTACGTGAAGTGATTTCAACTTGACAATGGAGTTGTCCCCAGCGACAAAACGGAAAAAACCTTTGCCTTCAGACGTTATGCGGGTGTCGTCGGCCAGGTGAATAGTGGTTTTCCTTGGACGATATTCCGAGAAGAGAGATCAATCCGCAAACATGTGGTGGCTTGCGCAGGAGTCTAGGAAGCAGATCTCGACTCCGTCAGATTGCTTGACCACCATTGCTCTTGCTGTGCATATTAATGCACTCGCAGTGGTCGAGATTGAGTGGTCGCTCTCTCCATCCGAGGGTGTCTCAATGGCAGCGTTGGCTGATGCTTTGGGTGGTTTACGTTTGGCTTGTCTGCATTGCTCGGCGGTGTGCTTGGTCGCAGGATTGTGCCAGCCTGGTTTGCAAACTGCCCATGGCTTTGCTGTGTCAGCCTTGAGAGCGGTTTCTTGCTTGATGGATGGTGTTGCGGGCGAAGCTGGGTTGAATGACTTGTCGCGTCGCTTGCTGTCTAGGGCGGCTTTAACCATGGCAATAATCAGCGGTCGTTTCTCGAAGAGAAGCTGTTTGGTTGGTTGGAATTCGGCCGGAAGTTTGCTCAGAATTTGCTCCGCAGCAAGGGATTCTTTGATGTCAGCGTTTGTTGGTTCGCTGACAATTAGGCCGACCGCCGCCATGCTATTCAGATTTGAGTCCAATTCGTCAAGACAAGTTGAGATTGAGCTTTTGTATTGGAAGGTGATGAAGTTCTGGTAGACCAACGAGTGATTCTGAATGGAGTTGGACTCGTAGTAACTCATTGTTGAGAATGTAATCCCTGTAGAAGGGAATATCTCATCATTAATAAGTGTAACTGATGATTACACAGAAAATAAACATAATCATAAGATAGAGCTCAAGGAGCTGATTCCAATGATACCATGTACAACTTATAATGTTAATTATAAGTGTACAAAAGATACAGAAATAAATCATGTTGAAGAACATGATAATAAAGNTGTATTCCCTGATTACGCATGTGAGAAAAACCCGCGACACTCCAGATGTGGAGTTTGCACACCGTACAACAGCACTGAACTTGGATTGTTCACAATCTTGGAGTATGACAGTAACCTTCACATCTCTTCTAGATAGATATTATCCATGATTAATGGTGTGTTTTAAGGTTTTCAGCCCCCCCCCCATCATTATTTTTCTTTGTCACTTCATGCTCTGAAAAAGTTATAGAAAGGAGTGGATAAGTCTAGCTAACATTACATTATAACTCCATTCCGTAAATAATGTCAAATCATTTCTCAAAATTGATAAATACCTAATTATCTTTTGGGGGGTTTTATTTAATTATATGCTGGCCTAGAGCTTGGTTGGGGTATCTCCCCAAATTACTCATTTGAGTCCTTCCCCCAATTACTGCTGTTTTTTACAGTACCTTGGAATGCAGCAAGAGCCCCAACTGCTTTAAGTTTAAATGTGCCAACTTTGATCTTGAAATCTGACCCCTTTATATTCAACCTTGACTCCATCCCAGGGTTGATGCAGAATGGTTTCTTCTCCAGTAATGAAGAGTTCACAAAAGTATAACTGGGAGTGTCACCCATACATTTTGACTGCTTCTTGCTGAGAAATTCTCATATTTTGCCATAGCAGTATTCAGATCAAAGAAAAATTGGTTCCATGGAGCTGATCTTATTCCTGGATACTCAGTTGAACCAATTTCTTCTCATGTTGAAACAGCTATTCCTTTTCTGTAATTCTATGTAGTGTCTTCTTCCCTAAAACAAGCAGTGGGCTGCTGCATTATTTGGAAAAAATAGTGTAACTTTAAAATCTGGTTTTCTAGTTTGACTCTCCTGTGAGATTACCAGAATTTATTCTCTTATTTTAATATGTTATTTATTTTCTCAGATTTGGATTTGAATCTTTGTAAAAAATATTATTCATCTGTTTTTCACCAAATTAAATACCCCAGGTTATGCAAGATAATCTAGTCTATTTCATGCTCAAATTAGTATGTAAAAAATATAACAAGGGATTCTTACACTAAATGTGCCACATGGACTGTTATTTATCTGGCTGGAGTTGAAATCACATTTACACTGTTTAGAGGAGCTTTTTTACAAGCCTCTCCTGGGGAAAGCCTGGAGGACTCAATGAAATACTCCCAAGCCACCTGTGTATGGGATAAGGATGTGTGAGGCATAATACTGTGTGAATATTCATGAGGGGAAGTTTTCATGACAGCTCATGAAGACTTATCTTTTCTCTTTACAGGGTAATTTCCCTCCCCCCCCTCCTTCTGATGTGAGGGTGGGTGGTAATTCTTATGACACACAGGTTTGGTGGTTGACTTAAAATGCTCAGATAAGCTTGATGGTGGAAGTGAGGCTAGGGGCAAGGATAGTTGTTAGCCTACTCTCCTCTTTATCTTTCCTGCTGCTTTCTGTACGCTTTTCTCTTTGAGTTTACAAAAAGGGGCATGCTCTTAACTTCATTGACAAGCACTTACAACTACAACCCGACTCCTGCCACCTCTGGCTGTGCCCAAGGAACCACTGATAAAAGTTTCTATTCATACTAGGCACCCTTGCCAACCCATCCATTAATTTTTAGCCCAAATTTACTCCCTTTTGATCATTTCCTGGGAAAGTAAAAATGAATCACATTGTGTTGACAAGATTCCACTTTGACAAGATTTTACAACATGGAATCCCTGCTGGAAAAATGTGACATGCAAAATTGAATATTTGATTCCTATAACTGAATTTTTGCAATCTGTTTTTTGAAGTGATGGTTCCTTATTCCCTATTAAATATGGGGTTCTCACCAGCAAAAATCATGTGTGTGGTCTAGTTGGCATCCTGGATGAAGGCCACTGATATCTGAAACATACCACAAGCTCTCTTAGGGGGTTTGCTCTCCAAAGACGTGTCCTGAAAATTAATCTTTTTAGGCCTCCTGAACTGCCAAAACCAAGCCACATTGGAAATCAGACATTGTAATTTTTACACCAAATTAAATTGTTTACACTGAAGGGGAATTTTGTGAGCCTGTGTCTCTAGAGTGACAGCAGGATACAAATTGGTTTGTTAAATAAAGCTGTATTTCTGAGAATATATACAACAATAGATAACAAGGCTAAGAAAAAGGAAAGGAGATTATTTTTTTATGAGTCTAATGTTCTGCTCTAAGCTGAAATGCTGGCATAGGAGTATGATGAAAGCTCAAACAGTTCAACTCTTTGTGGAAAGAGGACTGGACAAAAGCTGTGATACAACAGTGTAGGGGCCAAACACTTATTTTTCCAGCACTGTAGAATGACATCTCCATACAGCTTCTACACTACCACACCTTTGGCATCTTTTTCAACTACATAGTCCTGTAGTTCAGTGTAGAAATCTATTTTTTTGGGATTTATTTGTTAGTTTGATTTGCTTTTTGCCAAAATCTAACAGAAAATAGATTAGCTGTTAGCAAAAAATGGTGGTATAGGTTAAACTAATGCTACTGTTAGCATAGCTGGCCAAAGCTTTGTATTTTGAGTTGATGATAAATGAGAGCCAGAAAGCCTCCATAAAAAATCAAAAAAGGATCAAGAGAGAAACAAAAAATCAAACACATGAGAGGAGGATAATGGAGTAGATGAGGATGACTGGAATGAAGATGAGAATTAAGTGGAGTAATATAATGAGGTGAGGACAGGTAACAATTGACAAGGTTTAATGGCGAATCATATCACATAACTCTCCACCATCAGTAATAGCGAGATGGCGCAGCTGGTAGCGCGCTGGGCTCATACGACTGTTCCCATGTGAATGGGTGTCACCCAGAGGTCGTCGGATCGAAACTGACTCTCGCTATCTTTTTGAAGAACTCTTGGCTGGTTGTCGGGAAAGCAATGACCATTTGTATTACATATCTGAAAGCCAATATAAAAAAAGAACTACTCTCTGTCTTTCAACAATCCAACTCCGCCACTTCGTTTGACTCTTTCCGCCAAGTCCATCTGGCCGAAGAAGACCTTCTTTTCTTGCTCCATGACGAAGGAGGCCTTGTTGCCGTCGCCGACGCCGCCAGCACGGATACGATTACGCTCACGCTCGGCCTCCTCGATCTTCATCCGTTCCGAGTCTTCGGCCTCCAGTTTGTGTAGTCGCTGGGAACGGGACTCGTGCAGCGACTTGGCAGCCGCTTGCATCTCTGCCAGCTTAGCCGCCTTGGCTTCGGAAAGCTTGGGGGCGATATTGGCTTTTTGGACTCCGTTCGCCGTAGAATTATGAGTAGACGGTCGAGATGAAGATGGAGGATCCTGCGGTCTTCCTGAATCTTGATGGTAGCGCCTAGACGAGTCATAGTGTGGACGACCAGGATGAGGCGGGGCCCGGTGGTAGTTTCTGTCGTTTGTCGAATGATGAGCGCTAGAATATTCTCGATCATCTGTGGACTTTGATGGCTGATTGCGAGTTGTGCGGGATGGAGAACGGGATCGGGATCGCTCGGTATGACGGGACCCGCGATGTCGATGACCAGGGGACACAGAAGTGCGATGACGGTCGCTGCGGTAATCAGACGGTTGCCGAGAGGGTCTAGAACCCCTATCAGGACTCCTGGATTGATGGCGGTCATCTGGGGAAGGTGAACTGTGGCGTCGGTGAGAATGTCGATCCTGGAAATGTCGGCGGTCTGGAGACCCTTTTCGGTAAGATCTGGAGTGCGGTTCTGGACTAATTGACCGGTCCGATTCCCTTGAATGACGTTTTGCACCTCGGGCCCTCTTTGATGCATTATTTCCTGGTCCATCACCTTCATGTGCATCATGTTGCCTCTTTCGAGCTTCTTTGAGTTCTCTTTTCAGTCGTTTTCTCTCCTCTTTTTCTTTCTTGGACTTTTCCTTCGTCGTGAGACTGGATTGTAATGCCTTGAGTTTTGCTGGATTCTTCTTCAAATTTTCGTACGCTATTTGTTCCTGCTGTTTAATCGCAAGCAACGGGTCTTCTCGAATCTTGGAAGCCGTGTCGCGAGCTGTGTTAGCATTCTGTAGCGAAATAAAGCCCCCGCCAGCTTTGCCGGCATCAGATTGGCTTGCAGCTCTTGCTTGTAACTAGGGGGAGATTTGCGAGGTGAATGAGTCAGAATACACTGCGGAAATCAAAAGTCTCGATGGATGATAGGAGAAACCGTTTTACAGACCTTAGCAGCAGCTTCGTCTTTTTCTTTAAACAATTTATCCACCGTCTTCTTCCCGAGGAGATATTGTTCTTGCTCTTCGGTGTTTATCCCGTTACCGGTAGCAGGGGTAGCATAGAGCCACTCAACGCGCTCTTCCCTTCGACCACCACCCTGCTCAGCCTGTAGCCGTTGGAGCTCTTGCAACTGACGCTCTTCGGCTAGTTCCTTCTGTAGTTGGGCAGTTTTCTTGCGTTCTTCGACCTGACAGGAGATGGAATCATCAATCGCCAAGTGCTTCCAGGCAGAAGGACAAAAATGACTTACTGCTTTACGTTCTTCCTTCCACACCCGCTCCTGATTCTTCATCAAGAGCGGATGCCAGGACTGTCATTTCATTGATAGAAAGACAAGTATCATGTTGGTTAGCATCAGTTGAAGTGGATATTACCAGAGATGCGTACTGACCTTTTTCATGTTCAAGTCGCCGCCCCCCATCTTGAAGTAGCGTTGTTAGGCTGGTGGCGGTTTGTTTTGAGAGTAGGTTCGTTGTTTGAAGAGTGTGGTGTTGGTTGTGAGGCATTAATGATCAACAAGAGTAGCTGGAGTTGGAAGTATGCAGGCTGAGGGGCGGCAGCGGTGCGGAAGCTTCACTCCAGCTAGAGCTTCGGATCAAGACAACACCAGCAATTAGCCCGCATTACTCAATTTTAGCTGTTGGGTTATACATCAGCAAACTATAACCCTCACATCAGCAACCCATCAGCATATAGTCTTTACCGGAAAGCTTGGACCAAAAAAATCGGTTCCAAGGCTCCAGCACCATGCCAAATTCCATATCAAAACATGCCAGGTGACATGCAGTTATATTGTGTGTTACTCTGGGGCTATTCCATTTTATTAAAAATATTATGTCACTGGTGTATTATGTAGTAAATTATATTTTTGCCTGTGGCTTTTTGGCAATGGCTGGGCCTGAGAATTGAATCAGCAGTTGTGCAATTCAGCCATGCTCAACCACTCAAACTTTCTCAGCG